AGAAGGCGACTACTGTTAAAAATTCTAATCTTATATAAAATCCTTTAATCTTTTGATCTCTTCTGCTATCTCATTATCAGCTTTTGACGAAATAGCAAAGTAATACAGTTATGAACTAGCTACAATTTAATTTCGTGAAAATTTTAGTGGATTTAGTATGTGAATGTTTTTTTTCGGCATTCTCTCATCATTTAAATTCTAGGTATTCATACTTTCAACCATTGCTTACCAGTTTCTCCCTTTTCATCAAATAAAAAAATTTTCCCAGGCCTCCATATTTTACTGAAAAAACACTTAAAAAGCGAGGGAACATTTCAAAAAAAGATAATTTTAGACTAACTTAAATTATAGAAGTCCATTAGACTAATTATTTGTTTTTAAAATATTAATTATTTTCCGATAATGAATAATCTTAGCTAAATCTGCCATTTATTTCCTTAAATTTCTTTGAAAATGTTAGGACAAATTTAGAAAGTAGTTGACTAAATTTTATGCAATACAAAGAAGACTTTTATTTTATACATAAAAATAACAAAAACTTATGCTCTTCGAATGAAGCAGCTTATTTCACGTTCAGCTTCTATCGAATATGCTTCCGTCCTAAACCGTTCTTAAAAAATTTATTCATACTATCTTCAAGAAAAAAAACATCCGGATTTCTGTATTATCTGCAAGAAATTTTGGTCTTTAGCAAGCTGGATTGTTTGTTTCAATAAGTTCTATTATTAAATCTTCGAGTTTCATTCACAATGGTATGTTTTATGGGTCTGAAAATAAATAAATAACAAATGATGAAAGCTGATATTATTTTGCAACTAAATTCATTCTAAATTCTGTTAATTTAAAGTAAGTAACGACGCCTTACTTTTTGCCTTTAATAGTCTTATTTATGTCCTTGCATAGCCTATAGATCGCACGAAATTATAGTTTATATTCCTTCCCAGTTTCTGATTTTTTTATTTTAATTGTTTCATGAATAATTTTTTGTAAAGAAAAAGCAACCAGAAATTGCAAACGTATTTTTTTATTAGTGGGATATTTTCATTAATACCCAGCTTGGTTTGTAATGAATACTTTCATTACAATAAATAATAAGCAGCTGAAGATAAAATTTAAGACAAACCTTGCTTTTTATCGACTTATACTTTCTATATTAGTGAGCTATGTGACTTCAGAGTGAAATAAATTTGATGATTTTTACAAGAGAGTAAGTTCCCTTGTCTCTTTTTTTACTCATTTAATATAATAATTAGATATTATTTTTCGTTTCACATATTCATTTTTAAAATTCCAAGATATTCATTGAAATTAAAAGTGAAGATTACTAAACAGTGCAGCCATCTGAACTGCCAATGAAGTGTGCGTTTCAATCCTTATTTTTCTTCAAAAACAATAAGGATGCAGTAAAGGTGGATTGCAATAAAAAACGTTTAGAACAGGTGGAGCGAAAATAGATAGACACATCTATCGTTTCTTTCTGTTTACTTATTTATTTCAAGTATTGGTACTATTAATGTGCAAGTGCCTACATCCACAAAATAGGACTGGCGTGAACAAATGTGGGACAAGAAATTATATATGCTGACATATTCCGATCGTCAATATCGACAACATTGCGCACAGTGGAAAAATCAATTGTCATAATCGAACAAAAATGCTACAATACGAATCAGTGCATTTATTTCCTCAAAATAAATTTTTTTATCTCCAAATCTGCCTTTTGCAAATTTGTATAATCTTGCCACTAAACGGAATGTCGTTTAGCTGAAAATTCTGAAAAAATTCAATCCATTGTTGCGTTGATTATACATCGTAAGCTATTTCATATATCGTCATCTTTAACATGGAATGAATTTATTTTTACGACATGGAAATTAATTCCCAGTTTTATTTCTCCGAAATCGTACTTCTTTTCCAATCGTTTGTTGGTTGAATTTCGTTCGAAATATGCAGTATTTTTTGTGATAATCTTCAAACAACTTGTAAATAAATATGCAAAATTGGCTAGGAATTTCAAAGAAAAAGAAAAAATTCTGTCAAATAAAAGGTTATTCTTAGAAAACAATAGTGAAGTTGACATCAAAAAGGTTGGATTAGATAGTTTTTTAAAATATACATTGAAGTTATCACTACAGCACAGTTATATGCTAGATATGTTCAAACAGAGCGCGCGTGTGCTATCTAATCGGTTACTTTAGTTTGCTTATTAATTACTAGCTACTGGTAGAACTTGAAATATATTTCACTATTTATTTCTGAACGACAAATATATCATACATCATGTGTAGACATTAGAATAAGCTCCACATAATGTGTGATATTACATCCCTTAACTGATGATCTTTTTGTGTTGAAATTCCATAATTCTGTTTCGTGATGATATTGACGATAGCAGCATATTTGATTTTATCGACTTCAGCACTGCTTAATTGATAATTTCGAACCGCATTTTTATATATTCATGTTTAAGAAAACTTGCATTAATTTTTAAATACTTTTTTTGTGATTCTTCATTTTTTGCTTCAATATTATAGCTGCCATTTGTGTGCACTGCCGTGTGAATTATTATAAGTAAAATTTATGGTTAAAAAATATGTCTCTGCACAGAAAAACAAAAAAAAAAGAAAAAACTTTTTCCTAAACGAGTAACCGTTTTATATTGCAAATTCACGCACTACATCTTTATTGTCAGTCATTTATGTTTTTCTTTGCTTTTCCCACTTATTTTCATTCAGTTTGAACAGCAAAATTTTTTATATAAGTGATGAAGTGCCGTTCCAGAAAGCAGATCACTTGTGGTGATATGCTATTTGAAACTTTCTGTTTTGAAAGTAAAGACTTCCAATTTTCCTTATTCCTTATTATGTTCAGTAACAGTGTGATTAATCCTTTTTGCAACTTCCCTCTCTTTTTTTCTAAGTGCAAAAAGCTGGGAACAAATATTAAACTTGCGTTAATTACAATTAAATCGAAATTTATTAGGACAGTATTATCCGAGAAACTGTTTGTAACTTCAACTAAGGAATTATGTCACAGATATACGCGAAGTATTATGTAACCTTATCATTACATGAGTAAAATGCGATTATTTGGATTTCTCATTCGGAAATTCCTTCTTTTTTAACAGAAAATAACCAGTTTTGGTTTCATTATGGTGAGACACTTTCTTTATTTTCAAGTTTTGTCATATCTTAATATCTTAATTCATACCTTAATTTGCGTAAAGTTTGATTTTGCCAGGTCAGTTAAGATTTGTTAAGATTTATTGCACTTTTAAACTAAGGTATTTCAGTCATTGGTTCAATGAGTTAAATAATGCAGGATTGGTGTGAGGAGTATTTATGGCCGAGAATACAATCACCACCGCATCTAAAGTTTTTTCCAAACTTCTATACGGTTTGGAGAATACGACCAGCAAATTCCTGTAGAATGGTTTCAACTTTCCTTCCTTCGAGAATTGTAGTGAAAGAGGTTAATCGAAAATAACAACATAACATGAAAAACTTACAAACGATGATGAACACCAATAGAAATTTCCCAATATTTGTTCTACATGTTTGACTCCTTCTAAATGAATGTTTTGTGAAAAGCAGAATTATTCTGAGTTTGTCTCGAATTTTGCATCAAACTACATTTGGACGAGTGTTCTTCACTTCAGAGTTTTGTATTGTTAAATACGTGAATGAAATCCTACATTGTCGTTGTCAACATTTTAAACAAATAGCCATTTTTTTAATGCTAGCACTTGCATTTTTTTAGATTTCAAGGAGTTCGTTGGAGAAGTCTCGAGGTACCTAATAAAATTAGTCATATCTGTAATTCCTTGACTTGATATTAGTCTTTTTGTTTCAGATGATGTAGATCTATTTTAAGAACAGTCCTGATACCGGAGTGATACCGGATGTATATGATTCTTTTCATTGGATCAACAGTGCTTTAAATTCAGTAAATGATTACATGCCTTGAATTTTGGGTTCATTTTAAACCTCGCTTTACATAATAAGTTTCACCCTGAGAATTTTAGGAAGTTTTTAATTAGTGAAATGAAATTGCTTATGTCATCAAAAAAGAAGAAAGAATAATCACAAATGTGCCAGTTTACATGTCTGTACATCCTCTGCATATTTGCACATTTTCATTTTCACTTGATGGAATTAGAAGCCAAGCCTGATTTTAAGAAATTCACTAAAAGTTCCCTATCAAAATTACTGAAAACAGTTGTCGTTCATTCTTTTTATAAGCTGTCAATAAGAAATAAGAGTTTTTTAATTCGTCAACATGGCAACATTAATTTTCAGCGCTAAAATAGACTGTGAAGTGGCATTTTAAACGTTACAGTACAGTGAATTATATATGAATCAGTTATCTTGAGCTAAGGAACAGAAGTGAATAAATATTTCATAAATCATAAAATATTTCGGCTTAACTTCTCAAATTCAAAAATCATAAAGTTTTTTGCTTATGATTTTCGAATTCGAGTGTTGAATTTTATGTACTGTGTTCATTTTCGCATAGAATTGTATCCACCAAAATTTTTGCAAGTGCTGTTTTCAAGTTTCCACTCAATCTTCTGGTGCATTGATCCATAAATTTTTCGTAAACTTGATCTTCCATCAAAAAGACATAAATGAATATCGATTACAACTAATTGACACTTGCACCGAACATCATTAATGAGCTTTCAAATGACATTTGCCACCAAGCACTGATTTAGTGAAGTGCACTGGCTGCTATTTAACTGCAATTAGTCTTTCATAAAGATAATATTAATTGCAATAGCACTTGTTTGGGATATATTTATCACTGATAATTTACTAAGCAATTCATATTTATTGCATATTTTTTTCTCAAAAAAATGTCCTAGCTTGTGACATAATCTTAAGATTTTCAAACATGAGAACGTTTTGTCACATGCTGGCTGCTCCTCCAACGATCAAAAGTCTGCCGCTTAATAAGGCTATGTTATGGACAAATTTCTTTCAAAAAGTTTATTTGTAGCACTATTTAGCGCATCGTGCTATGCAATCTCGAAAGGGCGTATTGCAATAAGTAAATAAGGATAATTCTTGTTTGTTATTAACCTCCAACTGATTTTCGTAAGTTGTGACAATTGGATCAATACTATTTGATGTCGATAACATGAAAATTCGTCCGCTGATACTTTGATTTATTCTTGACCTAGAAAATATACAATTACTCTATTATAGACATAAGTGTACTCTGTCACTGCTAGGTGTGATTCATATACAGTTTAATTTATCTTTCAAATACAATGTATTGCTCGAAGAAACGCAAAAAAATGATATTGAGTTCAGTTGTACTTCTTTATGAAAATTTTGAGCTTCTTTTATAATCAAAATATAAGTTTTTGAGATTGGTTATGTGAATGAAAGATAAACAAACTTATGTCTTTGCAGCTGCCATACATGGAAACGCGTGTGTAGAACTCGAAAGAAAACCAATGAAAGGAAAAGTAGCATGATAACAATGGTGATAAGTAAGGTGGACAAGTTGATAGATTCAATAAATGATAAATTAGAAGCAGTACGCTGCTGCAAGCATGTCTCATAAATCACTTTGTCAACAATACTTTCCTGCATACCACTGACCAATGCATAACACAAGCAGAAAGTATAATTCTGGAAATTATTATAATTAATCCATGGAAGAAGTGTAAGATAGTTCCCGAATATTCCAGAAATCATTCTTTTAATGTTATATTCAATAAAACATATCAACCAGTTAACTGTTACATTAATACTAAATTGATATATTTAAGTTTTTCAAAAAAAAAGTAACAGCAAAAATATGATAAAAAATGGAAGAACTTCCGCAGCTTTAAGCCTCATAATTTTATAATTATGCCATGGATTGTATAGCGATAGTTGAACCGTCCTGCTATTCATTCCGTATTCGTCACGTACAGCTATAAAAAAATGAACTCGATCCTTAGCGTGTACAGGTAATGATGCATTCCATGCCAGCGTAACATAATGTGAGCCAACCTGGAATTCATGACATTTCAAATAGTCAAATTATTTTTGCATTTTCATTTTCACCCAGTTTCATTGACATCTAATAATTTCATTCTTGCTATGAAAATGAAATATTCATTATTGAATACAGTCAAATAAAACAAAACAGCATTAACTTGTTTAAAATATGTATATCTAAATTTTAAGTTTTTACTCATTTCTGGCACTTTTTCTACCACAATACACAAATGTTTCAGAGCTTACTGTCATCGCAAGAAAGCATTAGCAATTTAGAACATGATATTCAAGATTGCTGTTTATTACAACGGCAACTAGATTTTCAATAAATTGAATATTGTTAAGGATTTTGAAGAGCTTAAAAATTCTCACTTCGATGACATAAAAAGCGATAGCAGGTTCCTTCACTTTTAAATGTATAGTTTGGTGAACAAAATGTTGCTCTCGCTTGACTGTACACCGATATTCGCCTTCATCTTCTGCTAACACAACATCTAACCTGATTGGTTTATATTCACTAGATGATGAATTTACTGCTATAGATAAACCATAATGGTTGATAAAAGTTATAGTGACATGTTGTTATTCATGTGGGTGAAAATATTCTTCCAAAAATTTATCAATTATAAACTTAAAACATAAATCAGTAAGATAGCTGTAAATTGAATTTGTATCCAGACGTTTTACTTTCCTTCTCTTCTTAAAATGAAAATTTGCAAATAACTTTTTATTAGAAATATTAACCAGATTTGTTCATTTGTTGCCCATACACGTGGCTGTACCACATTTGTCGCCTTCTGATTGAAATTAAATTGACGATATGTAGAAAGGTGATGGGAGTACATGATATCGTTTGAATTTATTTCCTCTGTTGGCTGCAAAAACATTTCAAATAGACCGATATCAGTGATAAGTTAAAAGAAAAGGTGAAAAAATGAATTAATATGAAAATAAAGAAAGTAAATCAAATAGCATTATTAAATAGTAGTTATGAAGCTATGGACATTTGTAAAATAATTTCTAGTTGGAATATCGGTTCGATTTGGAAGTCTCCATAACAAGCTATCAGATGGCTGTCGTGATGCGCAATAAATGGAGCACTGTTCTCCGATTGTGGCTTCCATCAATTCACCAAATGGCAGTATGGGTTCTGGACGACATTCTTCAAGTGTCCATGTTGCATGGGCTGTTATACTGCAATATATAAGGAATGATTAAATGTTTAAATAAATTTTATTTTTTTAACTCTGCAATTGAATTCATCTGAATTCGTTTTAAATTGGTATTTCATTTAATCATTATTTAACTGCATCAATGATATACGGAATATTAGCCCGAACCTCCTTAAAATTCCTCTTGCAGACAAGCAGGTAGTTTGTTTCAAATTGCGAAGATGGGATATATCCTTTGTAATGGACTTAATGATACAGCCGCAGCGTAGAGGATTATGATCAAAAAAGCCTTGTGATACCGTGGATAATAATTCATCTGGCAGGACTTCTAGCGCACAGTGCGAAAAGTCCACGCTAAAAGAAGTTTGGAAATGTAAGATAAAAAAATATGCCACTTTGAGGCTTTGAGGCAAACAAAAAACTAGAAAAATAAAGAAACGATACAGAAACCTATAAAGCATAGTATTCTTGATAAAAGCACGTGGTGATAGATAAGTGAGTGATTTGGAGTAGCTTAGATTGACAGTATGCAAATTTGGTATTTGAGAAAATGCAAACTGTTCCAAAACACGTAGTTTAGAACTATAAGATAAATCAATCTCCTGAAATAACTGAATTTATTTTATAAATGAATTTGTAATATTTAGCTGTGCAAGAATCATAACAGTTTCACTTATAAGTTTTCATTTTTAAAATCAACCCATCTTAAAATAATACAAATAATACATTTTGAGCGCATCTGTTTATTTTGTTTGTTTGTTCATTTTATATTGAATGAAATTCCGATTAAGTAATCATAGAGTGATGAAAATATTTGTTAAATTCTCCTTACATATTTAGCCTAATTAAACTGGCTAAATCACATCTTCGATATTCAGAAATAATAAAAAAGGCCATAGTATATAAAACTTACATGCAGCATGGGATGTTTAAGTTCAGAGTTTGCAATCCGTTTAAAGTGGTTAGCGCCTATTCTAAGAACGCGTAAACCGACAAGTTGTCTCAGATCAGCACTCGGAATTATTTTGATGTCATTGTATGACAAATCAAGCACTTCTAACTGAAAATTTATTGCAATTTAATTATTTATGTTTGGATTATATTCAATACAAATAAATACAGTGCAGATTGTGATCTATAAAAGATTACTGCGACATAAGAAACTCTCAGCTTGAATTTTGGTTTTGAGCTAACTCTTATCGAAGAAGACCTTTCAATGTATTGAGCTGCTGATGCACACTTTCTGCTTATTTCTTATATTTTAATAACTTCAAATTTTTGAAATATTATATGGATTACATTGTGATTAAAATGAATCATTTGAAACAAGATTATTGATAATGGAATATTTAAAAAAGTTTGTTGATATAATATTTAAAAAAATTAATAAATAAAATGCCATAAGAATGAACATATACCTGGTATAATGAAGAAAATGAATCGTAAATGAATGTTTTGATTTTGTTGTGCGATAAATTCATTTCCTTCAATCTAAATGCATTCACGATAAATATTAATATACAATTAAAAATGATTTTTTTTAATAGGGACAAAATTCATCCTACTGATCATCATATAAAATGAGCCATAGTAAAGATTTTAGCTAAAACAAAGTTTAGAAAAGTTTCAAAAAATAATAATAAAAATATTTCCTGGAAGTTACTTGCGAGAAAAAATAAGCATTTCAAAAAATAAAAAATAAAAGTAAATATCGTAGAAAGAAGAAAGAATAACTTTTGTGCGGAGAAAAAATGGCTGCTTTTTATAACTTGCAAATTATTATAACTCAAATCGAGATAGTGCAAACTCGTCATGAATCGTAGCATATGTTCGTTTATATTCTGTAAACATTAATTTATTAATTTCTTTAAATTTGCAATCTATAAATAAATCTCCTGAAAAATAAACGAAAAATCTTCATTTGATAATAATAAAAAACATACAGTAAGATTGTTATTTGCAATGATAAGTTGCTTAAGACGATATAAGCGGAATGCTTCCCAGTCAACTTTACTAATAAAGTTGTAACTTAAATCAAGTAATTCCATGGCTGGAAACATTATGAAGGCGTCACGTTCTAGTACCTGCATATATTGATCATCATGTATGATTTTTATTTGCAAAGTAGATTTGGCGAAAAACGTTACTTCTAAAATAAACAAACTATATAAAGCAATGAGAGCGTCAAATACAGACACATAACTTGCAAATTACTATAACTCAAATCGAGATAGTGCAAACTCGGCATGAATCGTAGCACATGTTCGTTTGGCTTCTGTAGTTGAGAATACATCTCATTAATTAACGTGAAAATTACTAACTTACTAAGAAATGATTGTGTCTGATAATCAATTGCCTGAGATTTGGAAATCTGTTGCCTCGTGATGTATTAAATATTGAAATACAATTATTTGATAAGTCCAAAAAGCTATAATTAAAATGGATGAAGAATATAAGAATTAATTCTATAGTTTTAACTAACGCTCAATGTGAGATTAGTGTATATTACTTGAATTGATGCAGAATCATTTTGGTCATTGAGAAAGTAATAACTTACGTCAAGCGTTTCATTGTAGGGAAATGAGTCAAGTCAGAAAGGCCACTCTCTGTAAGAGATAAATTTAAAAGGGTCAGTTGTTGTTCTTTAAGCTGTACAAAGAGTGCATCCGGTTCTGTGACACTTGAGCAAATTGTTGAAGTCCATCCTAGTAGAACTGACTTTAAGATTTGATTTACGAATAGGCAGTTTTTCTTCTGGATTTAAATTCCAATGAATGTTAATGAAAAAAGTTTCGATGAAGAACTTCATAAGTAATATATTCCTGAACATTGTAATTTCTACCTCCAAAAAAGATGCAAGAAAGTTTCCCGATTTCTTCGTATTGTTTTTTTCTTGAATTAAGCTACAGAAAATAATTTGTAAGATGAAATAAGCCGTAAGGGGATTCTCTTTTTCCAAAGAAGAATTTTCTCAGCTGTTATTTTGCATGCATTTGAATGTATAAATATGGAAAGCAAGAGAACAACAGTATATATTATTTAAAATTTTTACAACTACCTATGCAGCTGCAGTTCTGTGGACAAGTGATATCTCGGATTTCAGAATACATCACTGAATACACGAATCGATGTATTGAAACAAGCATTATCAGGATGGAAATTCCAATCTTTGTCTCAAATTTTGTTCCCATATTATTCATTAATTGTCGCCATTTTTTCCAATCAATTACTTGTCACATCTTCGACAGCAAAGATTTCTGATTTGAAATTCCGGAAAAATTCGAAAAAAACTTTTATTACCACATGCATGCCTATTACATAAAGATATATCATCGCATTGCATCGAGGACCAGAACATAAATCGCTGCCATGAAAAAATCAAAGTTTAGGAGAAAATGTGTAAATGATTAAAAAGTCTTAAATGCTTGAAATACTATCAACCTTTGTTTCTGAATACACCCATATGAATTTAATTTTAGTCAAAATCATCAATACATGAATTTTATGACTGCCTAAGCAATATCCTGTATTTAGATTTAAATTTGCATAAATTAAAGATTCAAAATTTTCAGGCACAGCATTTATTTCTTCAAAGAATTTCCGTGTTAAAAAAAATCCAAACACGATGAATAAGTTCACGCATAGGTATGGAAAGTCAACTTAGTATTATTATTTCTACCAAAATTATCTGATTGATATAGGAACAGATTTCTGAAAGGGAAAAAAACAATTAGACAAAAGATGACAAAAAATGTTCATACATTAAAGTAATTGTTCCCTAAAAGTACGAACCATTAATGAAATTTTCAATATAGCAGAAATGACAGCACAGTTCAATTGTAATAGGTTTCAAAAACCCATCAAAAAAATATTGTGCATGGATTGAATAAAATAATTATTCATTGGTATACTTTATGTGTTTAACTTGAACCAAACATTTCGAATAGCTTTAGTAAACAAAATGTGCTATGGATTTTTCATAAAAGATGGATCACTTGTTTATGCAATTAAATGATAAGCTTTTTTCAAACATTCAGATGAACTTTATTTATTTGCATCCGTATGCAAAAACTGATATATCTTTAGAAATTAGAAACTAATATTACAACAGGAAAGGTATAAAAGGTAAAAACCTCTGTCACAAGTATACAGAGATTATAAATAAAGCTTCAAAATTCATCCGTATTTTAGCTTAAAAAAATACCAAGCAGTATCTTCAAGTACTGATTTACTTCGGTACTTTAAAATAAGATGTCGATAGCCTACAGATGCAGTATTTGCAAATGATATTAATTAATGAAATTAATACCATACAACAAAATACTAATTTGTTGTTTTTTCCACATTTAGTTCTCCATTACAATCTATCTGGAGAAGAGTGTTGAATTCAGCTTCAGCTGGCAGATAAGGATCTTCCTTGACTATTCAAGTTCTCGACGCATGGATTGGGAGTAATATATAAACAATGTTTTGGTATGAATTTTTAAAAAAGTATAAATTTAGTTAGTAGGAAATGCTTAATGTCAGAAAGGAATTGAACCGCGTACAGAACTCTCTTAGAAGTACTATGTATTGCTGCCAATCATGCAATACCAACACTGATCTTCAATCTCCAACAGTTAGTGATCACAGATTTATGGCTCTGACAGTTCGAGCAGAAAGAATGAAGAATAGAATAAAAGGGTTTCGACTACATCAAAATGGCATTTGCTATATCTGCAAGCGATAAGCATCAGCAATTCAAGTTAATGACGGTTGCTCGTCCGCTGACAATCATCATATTTGTCGTCCCCTTGCTTCTTATAGTTAATTTGTTATCCATTGAAAACGTATCCGTGAAGCCAGAAGCTAAAATCTCAATCTGGCTCTCTGTTCTGCGTCACTGTTTCTCCTTGTCAGTGGGTATCCCTTATTTATAATCTATAAAACCAGAAGCAATGAATGTGACGAACCCAACCAGACACTAACCCAGTGAGCTCTGATAATGGCCCTCCCCTTTAATGATCAAATTTATGTCGCCAATACTTCACTATGCAATTATTGGAGCATGCACAATTGCTGCATTTCAGCAGCACGCTAGCATACCAATTAATTTATTCAAATCAAGAACTCATTCATAATGTTTTGCTTCCTCGAATCTGCCATATAATAATGACGAATGGACGGCGCCAGGTTCGTCACTCCAATTTGAGATGAGGAAAGTTCTGACAAAATATCTCTTGTCCACATCGTATAATTCCAACAAGGATAATGCCTATGATTATAAAATGTACTAAAAGAAGCATCATTACTCGTATCAGCAATCCCAATCCATCACTGAGAAATTGTGCGAATAAGTTTTTTCGTCCCTTGCTTCTCTCCCCCTCCATAATAAACCTAGAAAAAAACTATTCCAAGCCCTTCTGCTATTTACTTCGAACATACTCTAATGATGCTGTGCTAAACCTATTCAGTGGCCTCTGTTCAATTTCAAAATGAAAAATCTGGTTTGGCATACTATATAAATTTGAACAAGAAACTGTATAAATGTATTGGTATAATCATAATTATTTAAATTTAATGCAATGAAGTACTTTACACTTAAAACTTAAGACACAGTAGCTTTCCATTATACGATACAATTTTAGCATCTAATCTAGAATGCGTTCGTCATCAAATTATTGTTACCAAGTTAACCGAAGATAAATCATATGTCTAATCTCCCTACTATCAAAATGATTGTCTCCTGCTCAATTATGCAATCCAGTACTGTTAATAACAGAAATTAAACCGAAATACATCTTCACCAAAAAACGAAACAAAAGTGTAAAACTGTAAAATAGTGTAAAACAATTTTTTTTCACAAAACAGAAAGTGTAAGTGTAAATGTAAGTGTAAAGCAAAAAATGTAAAAAAAATTTCAAGAAAGCTTCATATAAAATTATAAAAGAGAAGAAATTTCATTCATAAAATCAGCATAAGCCTCGTCTGTATCTTTTGCTTCTTTCCTTTGTGCTGATTCGATCTGTATTCCCATCATATTGAATCTGAAATTGAATCTTTCTTTCAAATCAAAAAAGTTACAATTGATTTACAAGCCGAACTAAAAATATTCATCAAGTATTCTAAAAATAACTCATGAGACAAGAAAGTATAAAATTTTGTCCAAAATTGTACACTCAGAAACAAATTGGAAGACATACTTGTTGATGGTCTTTTTTGGTTGATGCTTGCTTCGATTAATTCGAAGTGCTGTTGGTACGAGTTTTGTAACTTCTTTTGTCAAGTCTCTCAATTTTGGCTCTGCTGAAATTGTAGCTTCTCCGCTATCTTTCATTGGAGTCCCTCCTGTTCGTCGAACTACTGGCTCTGCCGATATTACAGAACTGGTTCCTGATGGACGTATAAATGGGATCGGCATTCCTATAGTAATAAAGAAGACATCTTAAAAGAATTTTCAGTCTCATTAAATTATCATAGAAAACAACTAGTTTTAAAAAAATCGGTTTTTAAAAATAGTTTTCACAAAGGTCTCGGTTTAATTTTTCTAAAAATAAATATTAAACAAGACTTACGAAAGTGAGGTGGAGGAGGCGGAACACGAAGGGGAAGACGAGGAGGAGGTGGCAACATGTTGGGAGGTAACGGCGGTGCACGTAACAAAGGTTGTTGCGGAATGATAGGTGCCAGTATGGGTATAGATCTCGTACTGTCGATATCGGCCATTTGGCTATGTTGCAACACTTCCATGGGAACTGCAATGATAACATGAAAAAATCATGAGATACGCAGCCAGTACATATAGATTTACCAAAATTATCAGTGTTTCTATACAAATAAAATCTCTTTCTATAAAAAATAAAAAAATTGAAGTGTTAATTTTACTTTCAACAGGCCCAAAATCATCATCAGCTGCTTCGATACCGTCCCTTATAAAGCTGTGTGAAATGTCTTCCTCAAAGCGTACGCGTCTTTTAGAGGGAGTTTCATCTTCATCATCTTCATAACCAATTAGTGGTGGCAGACCGCAAGGAGGTCCTGGTGGTTCTGTTCGGTCGCTTATATCCCGAGTGATGTGTGAATTTTTTAGAATACCAGCTCGTGCTTGCGGCATCAAAAATTGGACCGGTATGACAGGTATTATAGGTGTCATTGCTGCATTAGGTATTGAGCTGCCATCTGGCAATGGAATTTCTACAGGGTTAGCTTCCAGCGAAAATCGCAATGCATCTAAAATTATACTGAACAAAGCTGTGTGCGGCATGTGGACAGTATATTATGTCAAGTTTCTTGGAAATTTAAAATACTTTTAAAGAATATAAAATAAAATTATACAACTCACTATACTGTTGTATTTTTCGAGCTCTCTCTGCTTCGTATTGAAGCATTTTTTGTTCCAACTCCTTTACTTTATCTTCTCGCTTTTCTTGCTTATATAAATTGATTACTTCGTTGTAAGTCTGCTTAAATTTGATACGCTTCTCGTTGAAAACATACTTGCTATGATGCTCCACGTGTATATCAAATTCTGAAATGCTGATACTAAGACCTTTGAGACAATACCTTATTGTTCAATCCATAGCATTTCTTTTTTGATCGGTAATAAATTGTACAGACTAATTCCTCCTTTTCAACAACGCTTTTTGGTACAATGATACTTGATCTCGAGATTGGGATTATCTGAACTAATATGACATTTTCTCATAAATGAACCTTTGTATCTTGGTCATAATATAGGAGATTCCTGAAAGAGCCAGCTAACAAGTTACTTCGTTTAAATTATTGGAAGGAGTATATTCTGATGAAAATGTAGATCGGTAAAGAAACAACTAGTGAGTGAATATCATTTTATAAAAATAAGTAAGTAATTTTCTAGTTACCTTGATCATCCAAACGCGACAAGTTTTCTATGATTTCATCAACGTCTTTGCTTTTTAGTATTGCGTGCCGAACCATAGTCCTCTGTTTTCGATTCCTTTTAAGTTCTTTTTGCCGCATACTTTTGCGTTCTTGATCAGCCGGATTCATAAA